AGAAGCCCTGTGGGGTCAAAGTGCAGCCGAGCTCCAAGTCTTACAGCAAAAACGAGAACTTTGAATTGTTGGACCTGCTGTGGCTGAGTGCTGAAAACAATTCGAAGCCGACTTTTAATGCTATTATTTAAGGTAAGACTGATCCGCCATTAGAGAACAGAGGTACTGGGGAGTGTCAGGGTTAGGGCTTACTGGTTTTTAAGTACTACCCGTGTTGCAGTTATATTTTTATGTGAAGAAAAGGAGTGACGCTTCTGGAAGATGAGCAAAAGAAAAAATGATGTTTGGTATGATCCAAGTCAGCAGCTCAGCATTTGTCAGATTAGTGTTCAGTCTCACACTAAAGTCAGGTGTGTGTGTGTGTGTGTGCGTGCGTGCGTGCGTGTGTGTGTGTGTGAGTGTGTGTGTGCGTGCGTGACAAGCAGCCAGGGAGCTTTAGACCAAGTCAGGGGAGTCCAACAAACGCAGGCTCAGACGTGCAGACAGGGCTGGGACAGCAACAGGTATCCAGGTAACACTCGTATTCTTGTTTCTAATGCTGCATTATCTCCTCTGTAATCTATAACTTTGTCTTCTCCTTTAGCTCTAAACTGTAAGTCTATCTGTGTGTATTTTAATTTGTGTTTTCGATGTGTTTTCACATCATGTCCTGATAATTGTAAAGCACATTGGATTGCCTCTGTGTTTGAAATGTGCTCTAGAAATAAAGCTGCCTTGCCTTTAAGGGTGAGGGACTCAAACCAGCAAATAAAGGAAAGAGTCAAAACAGACTCAAGAAAACATCCTCCTGTGTCCAAAGGTGTTCAAACTGCTCAGACTGCATCTGTATTAGCTTCAAATGTCACATGGCTGTCGATAACTGTACCATCCATCCATTGCGTGCGGGGGGGGGTTACACCCTGGACAGAGAGCCAGTCCATCGCAGGGCGATAACTGTACCAAAATGCTTATAATGTAGTACAGTTTCAACAGCCTGATTAAAACGAGGGGCATGGTGGAGCCATCTTCCTAAAGTCAGGTACCTTCTCTGTGGTTTTGAAACATAAATCTGTATGGTTGAATGCTCTCACCAGTCTATAAAGTCCTCCACCACAGGGCCATGGTCAGAATCCTGTTCATCAAGCAGAGACACGATTACAGAGTCATCAGCAAACTTCATGATACCTTCCCCTTCCCTCTTACCCCGACACTCATTTGTGTATAAATAACTAAAAGTGGAGAAAGGACACAGCACTGGGGGATCCAGTGGAAGATAAAACACCATTAGCACTTACCCTCTGGGGTCTGCTTGTTAAAAAATCCATCAACCAGCAGACCTGATGGAGATGGAAGAAGGATGAGCGAACAGGAGACCTGACACGAGAATCCATGAGCATCAGATCAGATCAGATCAATGAGGGTTGGAGCACCTGCCTTGCATGCTGTTTAGCCATGACCTTACACCCGTCTCAGCAGTAATTTGCTAACACTGTGAGTTGAACCGGCATCAAGATGAGAGACAGTCACTTTAACCACTAGACCACCAATCCCAATACAATTATTGAAGACGCTTGTTTGCGCGCTGTGATGGAGCGGATGTAGGCGAAGTGCCGGCGCTGTTTCCAAGGATGTTTTCTTTTCATTTGTTGCTTCGCTGTGGCCCATGATGCTTTGTGGATTAGGGTTGAATTTCATTTACAGGTACAAAGACAGGTGGATGAAAATGACCCATATTTAAGATAAATGACATCTCAACAATGCAACGGTGATATTTGAGCATACACTGTGCCTACCTTTTCTCTCAAAGCTTTAACATCATGATATGGCTCCGCTAATAAAAATAAAGTCTAATGTGGCAAACTTCACTAGCAGTGCTCTACTGTCTGCTTATAAAATTCTCATTTAATTATGAGTTCACATGGGAAAACAATTTTTTAATAAAATGAAAAGAAAATCAGCTAAAGTCTTGATAAACAGCTTTTGTAGTTATGAAAATGTTGTTTTTCTGTCCTTTTAGTGGGAAAACTGCAGCTTTTCTGTTTGTTTCCTTTGTTCTTTACAAAAACCCTGAAAATGTTTCTGAGATGTTCTTCATGTTTCCTTCTGGCTTGTGGAGCTGCTGCATCTGCAAAGTCCTACAGAGGTTTCTCCCGTTACAGATGCTGGCAGAGATCCACCCTCTGATCCAGACACAGCAGAGTGATGCTGACAGGAATTGTCTGTAAACAATACCCAAGCACTCAGAGCCATGTAAAACCAGGTCTGGAGCCTGTAAGCGAGTCAGCTCATCACAAGCTCACAAACAAGCTGCTGTGGTATCAGGCAGGAAACAGACACCTGGATGATGGTCTGGTCCAAACAGAGTCAGGAGGAATCTCAGGAATGAAGTCAATAAAAGCCTAAAAGATGCGTCTCTCCTAATCCAGACAGCTGCTGTCTGTCTCCTCTGAGCGCCGGCATTTCTGTCATGTTTTAAACATAGACTCAGATTAAACAGCAGATCCCCCTATCTCCCACATGCACACGGGTTCTGTGAACCCACGGATCTGTGCCCCACACAGAGGAAAGAGAAGGGTGATGTGTAGGCAGGAATCTCTCTCTGCTTCGTTTCCTGTCCTCCACTCCTGTTACATCACGTCTGACCAAGCTGAGCTGAGGGACGCTGCAGACGTCTTACAGAGACACAGCGAAGACAACAAAACATAAACCTGTCTCAGAGACAGATTCAGTCCAATTCCAGTCAGCCCACTGGAGGACTTCAGTCAATTAGACGGAAACAGGTCCATTTGAAAACGAGTTTCCTCCTGAGGAGAGGACGTCTGACGACTCTGAAGGTTAGATTCATAACACCAACGTCAGTCAGTCAGTCCGTCAGTCAGTCAGTCAGTCAGTCAACAAACCAACCAACCAACCAGTCAGTCAGTCAGTCAATCAACCAACCAACCAACCAACCAGTCAGTCAGTCAGTCAGTCAACAAACCAACCAACCAACCAACCAACCAGTCAGTCAGTCAGTCAGTCAATAATCAATCAATCAATCAATCAATCAATCAATCAATCAATCAATCAATCAATCAATCAATCTCAAACCCAAACATCTCAAGAGTTCAGGTCTGCTGCAGAGGAAGCCGGACCCCGCAGACGCTCAGGAGCGTCTCTTTCTGCCTGTTCTTGCTAGCCTTTACTTTTGGGTTCCTGTTATTCTCCATGAACAGGTCCTGGAACAGCTGATTTTTCCTCGGTGAGTCTCTGAGACCTTCAGCCTCCTCCTGGCGTTCCTGACACTGACAAATATGCTGCAGAAACACAACTGACTTCCACTAAATTACAACCATCTGCAGACCTGAGACACTTCCTGTTTTAACCGTTATGCTTGTGTGATGATCTGAATGTGTGTGTGAAGGAAATCTAAGGTTAAACAGGAGCTTCGTCTAAAGCAGGGGTGTCAAACTCATTTTAGCTCAGGGGCCACATTGAGGGAAATCTAGTCCCAAGTGGGCCAGATGGGTAAATTTAAAAAAAACTTAAGATTGTTTTCTTTGTTTTAAAACAATCAATATAAAACAAGGCTGGAGCCTGAGGACAGTGTATCCAAAATAGTACAAGTACAACACCTGAAGTGTACTTGAAAATTTGAAAAAAATTAAAAAAATCAATAAATAAATAAAAAAACACAATCCTTAGTGATTCAAAGTGCTTACAGATCACATGGCTAGATCAGTTTCATGCAGCACTTAAAGCAGGGGTGTCCAATCCTGGTCCTCGAGGGCCGGTATCCAGCACGTTTTCATTTTAACCTGCTTCAACACACCTGATTTCAATCAGCAGGTGATTAACAGGCTTCTGCAGAGCCTGATGAGCTGCTGCACAGGTGATTCAACCAGCTAATCAAGCGTGTTGAAGCAGAAAAACCACAAAACCTGCTGGTTACCGGCCCTCCAGGACCAGGGACACCCCTGACTTAAAGTATATTTGACTCATTTTACTTAACATTTTTTAGCTTTCACCAGCACATCAATATCAGAAGTCACATCCTGAGTGGCAGCCAACTTCAGGATGTGATTCAAGTTCTTGTGTGAGCCTTGAGCGCAGCTTTGTTTTATTTAGACTCATTACAGAGAAAACTTGCTCACAAAGATAAGTTTATTTTCACTACATTGTATAGTATGAAAATAAAGTTTACACAACCATCTCGCGGGCCGGATTTAACCCGTTTGCGGGCCGGATCCGGCCCGCGGGCCGCATTTTGACACCCCTGGTCTAAAGGAAGTCAGTCGGTCACGTATTCTAATGTATCCTCAGTTCAAGTAGAAATGTCAGCCTAACAGGAAAAGCCAGCTTTCCTCTGGAAGTTCAAAAACACCTTCCTGCAGACACAGCACAGCTGAATAATGCAGACACGTAATTGGCATCGGAAAAGTCAGGAGCCATTCTGTTTCACAGCAAAGCCACAGACCAGAACGTTCCCACTGACGATCCCATTTTTTCACCACTTCTGCTTCATCAGGAGAAAAAGGGAAGAATCCAGCAGCGGGATGGAAGTGTGAGTGAGGATGTGACGGAGAACACAAGATGAGCCGGAAAACCGGGTCAGGCTTTGACACAAAGGGTTTAAAAGCAGGATCCCAAATCAGGGAATGCAGGTGAAACCAGGCTGATAAAAACATTCCTCCCATAAGGAAGCTCATGGAAAGATGATGCCAGAGATTCCTAACGGTTCCGGGTCTGGATGCCAATGCGACACATCAGCAACAAAAGTGACGACAGATTTAGTCTGTTAACTTTTTAGAGACATGAAATAGTTAGGGTTAGAACCCATGTGTGGTTCTGGACCCGGGTCGGGTTAGTGGGGCTGAACACTAACCAAACAGAACCGGGCAGAAACAAAGAGCAGGAGAAAGATCCAAGACAAATAACTCAGTGAAATCAGAATTAGGCTAAATCACACAGAAACAAGCAGAACCGAGCCGGTACCTGAGAATGGGTCACTGTGATAAACGTGAGCTGGAGTCTGAACTCAC